GCTCCCTCGCAACCGGCGCCCGTGGCGTTCGGTGGGGGCGGAGTTTGTGGTTAGCGTCATCAGTGCGCGCCGCACGGCCCTGGTGCCGCTGTCGGGGAGTTGTTCGTGAGGAGCGCGGAGGCGTCTCTCTCCTCCCTCAGCGCCATGGCTGAGGTCAAGGTGAAGCCCGAGGTCCCGGACCCGCTGGACGTAGAGAACAGGTGCCGGGCGGGTCCTGCGGTGTAGGTGGGGGGAGGGATATATGATGGAGGGGGCGATAGTGACATGTCCGTGCCCTGCCCCTGGCCCTCACTCCTAACCCACGGCCCCCTGCCCCCCCCAGCCTTCCTGTGCTCCTCACTCCTGATCCGCAGCCCCCTGCCCTCCCACCCCAGGCCTGCTGCCCCCACAGCTCCCCGCTGCCCCCAACTCCCTTGCCCTGCTGCAGCCCCAGTGCTAGCAAGCAGGCACACTCTTCCCCGCCCCCCCCTGTCTGCACCCCTGAAGCTGCTGGGGCCCGTGCTCATAGAACTGGTGACCAGCCTCTACCCAACTTTCCTTGCTGCTGAGGCAAGCCAGAAAGAGCAAAATCCCAGACACTTGCTAATATTTAAAAAAACTGCCTAGACAGAGAGAGGAGGACCCAAAAACAGGACATGTCCAGGAAACGTCCGTGGTAACGAATGGTAACCCTAACCCACACTGACTTCTCTTCCTCATCCCACTCAGGATCATCGAGCTCTGCCATCAGTTTCCCCACGGCATCACGGATCAGGTGATCCAGAACGAGATGCCCCACACAGACGCCCAGCAGCGGGCCATGGCCATCAACCGGCTGCTCTCCATGGTAGGGTTGCATCTGCTTGGTGGGGGCACCAGCCCATCCCCTCACAGCCTCCCTGCCTGCACCCTTGCTTCCTAAGCAGGTGTGGCTTTAGGACTGGGCCTGGCCTGCTCACTTCTTTGGACTGGCTAGAGCAGAAAACGTGTTTTGTTCGGTGTTAGCAGCTGCTTACTGCTATTCTTCTTTAGCGCAGGGATAACACAATTGGGTCGTTAAGCAAATTTATTCCCTTGGGAGACCAAGTGGAAGTCAAGATCCACTGACATCAAAGGAAGTTTTGCCACTGGCTTCAGTGAGACCTATATTTCATTCAAATTCTATCAGATTCGGGATTTGAAGGCTGATTTTTATTTTGTTTTGAGCTTCTCTCTGACCTCTTTATCTGCTTTAATTTTAGTTGCATTTGTTATTCTGTAACACCCACATAACGACCAGCCAGTATTATGCCAAAGTGGTGACCCAGGTTCCTTGCATTCCTCCACAGTGAACAGAGCAGCTTCCCTGAGAGCGTTTGTGATGGTGAAATCCCATGCCTTGATCTTGTCATAATAACAAGACCTTTTGCTATAAACGTGGCCTGACTTATGGCTCAATGTAGAAAAAGATGTCCACACTAAATATTAGAAGCAAAAGGTCACTGTTGAATGTATCCTGTACTCATCTTTTTGTTCCAAGGGTCACATGTATGGTAGTAGTGTATTCGTGATGTTGTAGCTGTGGTGGTCCAGGAATTATGTGAGAGGCAAGAATTTTTTTGTGGGGTGATGTGTGATCCTGCACTCTTCTGAGCTTTCACCTGCATAATGGTGGGCAGGCAACTAATAACAGCATGTTGATGTAATATGCTGTCATCAGGTTGTCCTACCTAAAAAAAATAGGTACAGTGGACTTCAGGATCAGTCCTAGGTAGAGCTTGTTGCAGTAGTCGTTTGAGATAACAAAGGTGATAATGACAAGACCTGTATGCCAAAGATGAAAGAATGCAATTTGGTCCCTGCTGGTCTTTGGAAGTGCTCTGGAGAAGAGCCTAGGGTCCTGAAAATGTTAGTTTCTGTGACAACAGGGGCAAGTACACTCAAATGAGGGGATGTTGGTAATTTTTACCAAAGGCTTTGTGGTAAAAATGGTTTCAATGTTTTTCTATACATCCCGTTTGGAAGTGGACTGAGCTTACGAAAGGGCTGGATGAAGCCAGCTGTTTTGTCCACATCTTAAGAAATGCATGCTGGGCGCCGCTGTCACCCAACACAAACGCAGCCCTGGCCCAAGCTCTCTACTGGGAAGAGCCTGGCACCGCACCCAGCCCACAGCGGCCCTTGCCCTGAGCACAGATCTGGGAGGCACACGCTCCCGTGGAGATGAGCGCAGTGGCGGGATCCGTCCCCTGCAGCCCCAGGATGAGCCTCTCGCAGCTCTGTCCCACACTGTGCTCTACCCTGGCTGGGCAGTGCCTGCCCCACCCCCACCCTCTCCCTCATCACAGGGGCCTCAATCTGTGCAACCCCCCACCCCCGCTCCTCAACACCCTTCTCACCCTGCAACAAACTTGCCAGCCAGACCCCGCTCTCCAAGCTGGCCATGTGCGTGCTGTGGCCAGTGACACTGATACAATATGGACTGATGTATCGTTTCACCTCTAATCCTCAGTGATCTTTAAGACAAAAAGGAGCAGAGCTGATTAGCCTGCGTCTAGCTGCCACCTTCAGGTCCCAAAGGCAGGACAGTAGCACCTCATGAGCAACAGTTACCAAGGCTGGAGAAATAGCTAGTAGCATTAGCAGGGATGCTTGTCCTTGATATGGAGAGTTTTTTGCACCACATCCTTGTCTGAGACCTTACTGAGTTGGGTTAAAAAAGCCTGGAGTATGTCTGATGATACTGGAAATAATCTACTACTCTCTTCTTTCCAGGTGATATTTTTGTAAAAAGGAATGCTAAGAGACTGTCTGATAATTGGCAAGATAATGACAGTTAAGTGTTTAAGGATGGGACAACTCCTATGTGAGCATTGTTGACTACTTGACCTGGGGGAAGAGGACAGCTATTAACATTATGCTGTTTATGATCCTCCAGCCATTCTCTTGTGACCTAATTTAGCCATTAGATCAAGGCTCTGACCCTGCCTTTGGAAATTGGGAATCCTTCAAGCTGTTACACTGCTTTTAACCTGTACACATGGCAATTTGTTAGTGTTTTTGTTTAAATAAATGGGCATGTTATTGTAGGCTGCAGGAAGTGTACACTGGAACTTTACAGCCTTTATGCAGTGTTGGAAGGGAGCAAAAAGTTTAATGTTTTCCAGTTACAGAAAGAGGCTGGGAGCAGTGTCTGTGACCTTTACTGACCGGTGTTACTTGCTGAGCCAACTGATTTTAAAATGCAATGGTATTTCCAGAAGGTGAAAATATATTATGTTTTTTAGCCATCTTAGTCAAATAAAATTAAGTGACATTTCATGTCTATAAAGTATAGAAGGTAAATGTCAAACTCCTGCTCTTGGCAAAGAGCCAAGTACTAGATTAAATAGTTTGTGTCTGTCTTCCAGGGACAGTTGGACCTTCTCAGGAGCAATGCAGGTCTTCTCTACAGAGTCAAAGATTCTCAAAATACTAGGTGAGCTTGTTTGTTATTTTTTATAATGGAACAGTCCTTTGGTTATAGCTCCTCACCAGCTCTCACTGCAGTCTTGGGGAGAAGACTGCCATCCTGAAATGATGCTATTATAAAACGTCTGTTAACTCATTTGTTCCAACATGTAGTTCTGTCTTCCTTTGGGCCTTATCCTGTAAATATTGCCAGGGATAGTGCTACTCGTGGTGAATAGCCCCCATAAAATGTTATGAGCAGATCTGTATACTCGGGTAAAATCCAGTTGAAGTCACTGGGGTACTGCGTGGGGGTCACTGATCATAAAATATGGTGTTCTCTCACATCTCAAGTTGCCTGTGCAAAGTGGAATAAAATTGACTAGATCTGCTTCCAAGGGGAAAACCTCCAAACCTAGCAATTCTCCCTTCCTACCCACAAGCTCTCCCTGCCCCAACAAAATCCACTTTTTGTGTATTGAATTGGATTTTTTATGTTTACATCTCTTAGGTTAATTAAACCAGTAGTCTTATCTCCTTGTAATCCGTCTTTTACAGTAAAATGAAGGGATCTGACAACCAAGAGAAGCTGGTCTATCAAATTATAGAGGATGCAGGCAACAAAGGTATCTCACTGATAAAGAATATTAGATATAATATTGAACTAGCTCTGTTGCTTAAAATGTATCTGGAGGCGGGAGTGGAAGTGAAGGTGTAATGCTGTTTCCCAATATAAGGTATGGTGATATATAAACAAAACATTACCAGTTATAACTTTTTTGCTTATTTTAAGAGTTTCTCACCAAGGTGTAAAGTGCTTGTCCAAAACAAACAAACCTAAAGAATTGGTGTCTATAATAGGACTTCAGCCAACTCCTTCCCTTGTTCCCCCCGCTGGGACTAAAAATCTGTATTCTCCACAAAGTAATGGCCTCTCCTGTGAGGCTTTCTGACCCAAAACCTTCTTAAGAAGCCTGGGAAACAGCTTGAAGTATGTGAGAATCATCAGACTAGGACTGTGTCAAACTGAGGGATGAGGGATTAAGTTCCAGAGCCAAAGGCCCCTCAAAGACTGACCTCAAAACCCACATTTCCACATGCCTCCCCTTTATATAGCCTCTCCTGCAAACAAGAAGGGTGAGTTGGTCACAACCTTTTATTGAAGTGGTTTTTAAATTATTATTTTATTTTTTTAAAAGTGAGGGAAAGTTTCTCGCTATTCTTTCCTGTATATCTTATCCTGCTCCAATGCCGGAACTGAATCTGCCCATAAAAGCCCTCAGAGTAGACAATTTCTTTTTATGGCAACTGTAGACAGAGGGTAGAATAATGAGTGTTCTCACACAGTACATCCTGTTTAGTGGTATAATGATATAATGTGAGCTTTGAATTGGGAAGGAACATTGTGAGACTTGATTTGGATATAAGAACAAAACCTGTTACTGAGGCTTATAATGCTCAGTTCATATTCATTTTAATTCAACAACTTTTTCTTTTTTATTTTAAACAGGTATTTGGAGCAGGGATATTAGATACAAAAGTAATCTGCCTTTAACAGAAATCAACAAGATACTGAAAAACTTGGAGAGCAAAAAACTCATTAAAGCTGTTAAGTCCGTGGCGGTGAGTAATCCAGAGTTCTTAACTACTTGAAATACATGCTGCACAGTGTGATCGTTACAGCAGGTGACTAGCAGTCAAGAAATGTGTGTTCTCTTTCAGCTTTGTTACTGAATCTGTGATCTTGGGTGGGTCACTTAATTTCTCTGAGCACATCTACATGTGGCCATATGACCCAGTAACAACCCGTACTGCGCCATGCTGGCTGCCCGTGGTTATTTCTAGCTGCTGTTGCCGTAGCAGCGCGCTATAACGAGGGAGCACGTTGCTACTGTGATGTAGCATCACGTGTAAATGTGCCCTCTGTGTAGCAGCTTGCTCCTTTTCAAATTGCAGGCAGTATTTTAACTTCTTTGTAAAGCCATGAAGGACTGGGATATAAGTTGCAATTCAAGCAAAAATATTACATTTGTGTAGAGGCGTGATGGCTTTTGTGAAGAGAAACTGGGAATTGTACTAAAATCCTACCTTGTTATTGTTACGTGTTGTTTAGGCCAAACTACAACTTCCTTGCTTCATCCTTCCCAGACCATCTTGCAGTCACAACTTTTTTTTTAAGCATCATTCTCTTAAATGGAAGTGTGTGATTTCTGAATCACAACGTTAGAAATGAGTAGCTAAGCATTTGTATTCAGAACCAAATGTAAGCAAGTAGCAAATATATATGTTTAAGAATTGCTTGGAAGAGGGATAGATTTTAAATGCATCTTGTTACACTCATAAACTTTAAAGAGTTGAACAAGCATCAAGCATTTAACCTAGTTTATAAATGCCAGCTGTAGAATATGCGAACTATTTATGGTGTGGCTTTTGCAGCCTATTTGTCCTTCAGTTCTTGGGAAAGGCAAAGTATATGTTGTGTCTAGTACATAATGTGAAATGTCTTTGTCACTTGTTGCTGCATTTTAATGAATTTTCAGTAATTTTTCCTTGAAAACATGTTTAGTAGGCATCTCAGTTCAATGTAATAAAACCCTTTTCTTAATTTAGTACTGAGTCCATAATCGCCATCCCTTGCCTAAGCTTGCCTACTTCTTTGCTACATGCTGCATAATGCCCTGCTTTGGAATTATTGGAGCTTTGGCTAAGTGCAGATGTTCAAAAAGCCCCTGACAGAAGTGCTTGAACTATTGTGCTTGACTTACAAGTGCTATAAGTTAGCGTGCGAGCAAACAGAAGTGACATTTGCTGTTCAGTGTGGGGTGGGGCTTGGAGCCTGCCTGGGCTGGCTGCTGGGACTGCTCCCGCATGCCTCTGAGGAGGCTGCTGGAGTGGCCTCTCCCCTCAGGCAGCTGGCGATTGGTATGATCTCTTCATTTCAGGGCAAATGGAATCCCACTGTCTACAAATTGCTTCTGTCCTTAGTTAAATGCTTCTCTCATGTGGAAGAAACTTGGCTATTTAAAATTGCATGTATTCTTCACTAGGCCTCAAAGAAGAAAGTGTACATGTTATACAACCTACAGCCTGACCGGTCTGTGACTGGTGGGGCATGGTACAGCGACCAAGACTTTGAGTCTGAATTTGTGGAAGTACTAAACCAACAGTGTTTTAAATTCTTACAGTCCAAGGTGAGAGAAGGTTTTTTTTTTTTTTATTATTATTATTATTGCTACATTCATCTTCTGGTGTTTTTCTAAGTAATTATTTTTATATAAAAACCTGTTGCTGAATGGTTTTTACATAACTCTTAATATAGAAAAGTAGACTTTGTTGCAGAGTTGCTGGGCTGTAATTCTTGGCTGACTTTTACTTGTATTAATAGTGTAAACACAGTGGAGCACTCCTTTAAACCTATAATTCTTACCTTTTTTACAAAAAAGCCTCATTCCTCCAGATGTGTTTTTCAAAGTGTATAGGAAGAAACAAATTCGCTTTTCTATAGGGGGATCGGGGGACAGGGGAGGGAAGAAGTGTTTGACCCTGATTATTGCAAACTCTGCCTGGAAATCAGTACCTCCTGTCCCAACTTAAGGGAAACAGCCTTCATCTTCTTGACCCCAGTTGTTTTTTCCTGCCTAGTGCAGGGGGACTGGACCTGATGATCTACAAGGTCCCTTCCAGCCCCTAACAATCTATGAATTGCACTTGCCCATCAAAATGTATAGTACACATCTGTCTGGCCGATATTTTACCTCTGTAAATGAGATTCAGAATGGTACTTGCCCTTTCTCATTAATGCATTTATCTGATTGTATATGGTGCTTAACTTGTAAGTTGCCACTTAATGTAATTTGTGCATCATAATTTGTGGAGCCTTTTATCTGCTGCAGAAAAATACCTGTCTACAGTGCTTTCCAGAGACAGTGTCTGGGAAATACCTTATAACAGGGGTGGGTAATTATTTTGGGTGGAGGGCCACTTACTGAGTTTTGTCAAGCCATTGAGGGCCACATGACAGGCAGCCAGGGGCAGATAAATATTAATTTTCTAAATTTTTTAGGGGCCCCACGGGCTGGATAGAGTGGCCTGGCAGGCCACATCCGACCCGCGGGCCACATTTTATCCACCCCTGCTTTATACCATCTCTTTGTAGAGGCTTTCTCATGACTGAGAGCAGTAACTGTTCTTCTTTTTGTTTCTCTTGTTTTGCTCCTGTTCACCTTTTCCTAGGCAGAAGCAGCTCGAGAAAGCAAACAGAACCCTATGATACAGAGAAACAGTTCTTTTGCTTCATCCCACGAGGTGTGGAAATACATTTGTGAGTTGGGGATCAGCAAGGTCAGCATGGCATTCAATTTACTGCTTTCCAAATGACTGCTGATGATTAAGTTGAGGAACTGGGTCTGAGGGTTAATATACCATATTTACCCAAATCCAAGGCAACCTTGAATTTAAGATGACTCCCAATAATTAGTTTCTATACACGGAAAAATTTAAATGTATTGTCATTTCCCACGTATAGTATCTAATTATTGGAGGATCTTCTTAAATTCATCCCCCCATCACTGCAATGGGGAAGGCAGTGGTAGGGAGATAGGTAGTGTGGGTTAGGCAGTATGGAGGCAGACAGCTTAGAATCATAGAAAATTAGGGTTGGAAGAGACTGCAGGAGGCCATCTAGTCCAACCCCTTGTTCAAAGCAGGACCATCCCCAGCTAGATCATTCTAGCTAGGGCGTTGTCAAGTCAGGCCTTAACCTAAAAAGGTGGAGATTCCACCACCTATCTAGGTAACCCATTCCAGTGCTTCACCACCCTCCTAGTGAGAGTTTTTTTCCTAATAGCCAACTTAAACCTCCCTTGCTGCAACTTGAGACCATTGCTCCTTGTTCTGTCATGTCACCACTGAGAGCAGTATAGTTCCATCCACTTTGGAACCCCCCTTCAGGTAGTTAAAGGCTGTTATTAAATCCCCCCCTCAACCTTCTCTTCTGCAGACTAAATAAGCCCAGTTCCCTCAGCCTCTCCCCAGAAGTCATGGGCCCCAGCCCACAAACCATTTTCATTGCCCTCTGCTGGACTCGCTCCAATTTGTCCACATCCTTTCTGCAGGTGGGGAGGGTGGGGGAACTGAACACAGTACTCCAGGTGTGGCCTGGAGCTTGCCAAGCAGCTCATCTTAAGAGTGAGAAAATGACAGTCAGTTCCCTGTAGAGTGGGAATTGCACCATATTTGAAGTATTACAGAAAGTGGAGGTGCATAGGGGAATGCCACTTAGGAAATATACATAATAGGCCAGCTTAATCTTAAGGACTGTGAAAAAACAGCAAGATTTAGTCCACTTCTAACTTTATTATATCCTTTCTATAGCCATTGGAAGCTATATGCACCTATCTGGACCTAAACTACACTATAAAGACTCAGCAGTAATAAAAATTTACCCCTTTTTTTTTTTTTTTTTTGTCTTTAGGACTTGGTAACATCTGCCTTCCCTTGTTCCCAATGTTTGTTTTTCTTTTAGGTGGAACTGTCAATGGAGGACATTGAAACCATTTTAAACACACTCATCTATGATGGAAAGGTGGAGATGACCATCATTGCTGCAAAGGAAGGGACAGTGGGCAGTGTGGACGGACAAATGAAACTGTACAGAGCTGTCAATCCTATCATACAACCTACTGGACTGGTTCGAACCCCTTGTGGTCTCTGCCCAGTAAGTGGCTTGCTGAGACTGTGAGGAGGGAAGAGGTGCTTGCAGATATAAAGATCTTGTAGAAAGTTAGGCACATTCTTAAGCTTGCACATGTGCACTATCCCATTGACTTCAAATAGTTATAGTATAATAAATTGGGATTAATAATAGTATAATAAATTATATAACATAGATTCATCGATTGTACGGGGCTGGAAGGGACCTCGCAAGATTATTGGATACAGCTCTCCTGTACTAGGCAGGAAAGACAACTGAGGTCAGGTGACCCCAGCAAGGTGACTGTCCAGTCTCTTGAAGATTTCCAGGGTAGGTGATTCCACCACCTCTGGAGGGAGCTTATTCCACAGTCTGGACACCCTGACAGTAAAGAAGTTTTTCCTAATGTTGAGTCTGAAATGGTCTTCCAGGAGTTTGCGGCCATTACTCCTGGTTTTCCCCAAGGGTGTCTTGGTGAACAGTTGTTTGCCAAACCCTTGATGTGTACTCCCCTAGTGTAGCAGTAAGGTGCTACCAAGTCCCCTCTCAGCCTTCTCTTTTTTTAGGCTGAAGAGTCCCAGTTCCCTCAGCCTTTCCTTGTATGGCTTGCCATGCAAGTCTCCGATCGTACAGGTAGCTCTTCTCTGGACTCTCTCAAGCTTTTCCATGTCCTTGTTGAAGTGCGGCACCCAGAACTGGACGTGGTACTCCACTTGACTCAGAATTGGTGAGACCACAGCTGAAGGAATCACTTCCTTGGTTTTGCTTGAGATGCATCAGTTGATGCATGCCAGAGTATTGTTTGCCCTGCTGGCTACAGGATCGTGCTGTTGGCTCATATCTAGCTAGTGTTGCCCTTAGGTCCCTTAAAGTCATGGTGCTACTCAGTTTGGTGCCACATAACTAGCTGAAGTACCCATTCTTTGCCTAGGTTATTATTTTTTTAATTGCAGCGTTTGTTTATTTTCAAAGAACTTAGTACAACATATTTTAGGTAAAAAATATTGCTTTATTTTTAAAGAACACAGCATAGCATTTAATATTTAACGTGGAGTGGAAAAAAAAAAGGCAAGTGTCCATGTAATAATGATAATTGATCTGAATTCGCTGCATCCAAAATGGAGTGGTACCAGTTTATCTGAGAAGCAAAGTAATCCCAGTCAGTGGAAGCCCCAAAAAGGGTCAAGTGAAAAATAACCTGCTTATAATTTTCTTCAGGTGGTATTCAGTGATTTTTTGGAAGGTTTAGAGTAGATAGAACCAACCATTCTCGAGTTATAAATGAAGTGTATGTCTGTATGTTCGCTTAAGTGAGAGAGGGAAGTTATAGTATAATAAATTAAGTAAATGCCTTTGTTATAGAGTAAATATGATTGATCCTTTCATTTAGGCCATGAAGTTTTCTTTCTTCATGTTTCCTCTCTTCTCCTTTATTGCATGTTAGAAGGACAATGTCAAATTGGGTGTGCTCCAAAATGTAGTTTTTATTTAAAAAATAAATAAACAAAAATCCAGCCCTAAATTTAAGCAAGGGCTGGGGGAACTCTCCAACCTTTAGAAGCAGTTTTCCTTTCAGATTAACCAGCAAAAATCTGCAACTTTGTTATACTGGCTGAGAACTGTAAAGTGACACCATCACTTTACTGTTGGTGTCTTCTGTTGAGAAATGTAAAAATGAATAATAAGCAAAACAAATTTATAAATGATTTCTAAAACTCTTTCTTTTGTAACATGGATAGGAAACAATTAACATATTTTTAACCTAGCCTCTTTCTAACCTCTCTTCATTATACTCTTTACCCTGGTGCTCTTGCACAGCATGCTGGTGAATGTAGTGGAATTTCTACAACTGCTGCTCATAAGTACCTGAAAGATTTTTTTGCACGTAAAACCCCTAGAGTATCTGTTTCACTGTTACATTCTTGATTCTTTGGCAGTGTATTACAGTGGAGAGAGCACTAGATTTAGGAGTCATGAGACTGGGCTTTTTTCTGTTCTCGTTTGAGTCATTTGGCAAACTATTTTACTTCCTGAACACCTGTGCCTTGCCTCTCTAGATCATTGGTCTTCAACCTCAACGTACCCTTCCACAACTTTTAAGAACTGAGCTACACCTCATTTGAAAAGCTAACTTATTATAGGATTTACCTCCTTGCAGAGAAGCTGGGCAGTTAGGGTGAGGCAGCAGCCAGGTAGAGAGGAGCCTAAGTCTGTGTTTATCTCCTCACACCTCACAGCACCCTTCAAAATACTTTGCAGCATCCCAAGGTGTCCTGGTACCCTAGCTGAGAATCACTGCTCTAGATTATAACCTATTCAACTGGGGCTGTCAACTGCTTTCTCTGCATGTAGCAATTAGCATAAAATGACCCCATTCAAGACCCCAAGTGTCAGTGTAATACAAGTGGAAATCTTTATCATTTTTGGGGTTTGATGCAGTTCCTGGGCGCCTATACATGAGTGTGGAGGCTGCTCCGACATGCTGGAATTCCAGCTTGTCAATGCAGACTTGGTTAATCAAGTCCGCTGGAGTGTGGGAATTGCTGCACTCCAGCAAACTCCTCCATTTCATGTATCAGCATCCCCGTGCTTAAAAATAGTGGCAGGGTGCTTGAACTAAAGCTCACTTTTAAGCATGCAGACACTGATACAGACCAGCTTTCAGAGCCACTCTAATTAAAGCACTGCCCACCCCTGCAGCACATGGAAAAGTGCCCCCTAATTGTTGGTCTGCTTCTCTGTGGAGTGAACATGGAAGACTTTTACTTGAAGTTGGTTTGTGCTCACAATAGGTAGTGAATCTTAACCTTGTTTTCATGTTTTTCCATAGGTTTTTGATGATTGCCATGAAGGTGGTGAAATTTCCCCATCAAACTGTATTTATATGACAGAATGGCTAGAATTTTAGTAGCAGAATAAAAACTATGAACTGTGTCCACACTTCGCAGCCTAAGTTGGTGATCCAACTTGTTTTTTTTTAACCCTGGATGATGATTTTTTTTGTAAGCGACTTCAAGATATGAAGTTCATTTGTTTTTAAACACATGAAGAAGCAACATATTTGTTTGTTAGCAGCTGTGACCGAGGACTAAAAGCCATGAACTACTTAAGATCAAGTTACTGATAGAAACCTAGACCTGTTGCTGCACAAAAAATGGAGGAACACTTGTGTGACAGATGCCACAAATGGTTCTGGAGTATTATAAAATCCTGAGGGTTTCTGTACAGCACTCTGCCATAAGCTTGAAAATGAGTCATTTGCTTTAACATTGATAAAGGATATGAGTCCTAAATTTTGTCTTCAGACAAGTAATACTGAAGAAGAAAGTCTCAGTCTGAAAGGCAGCACCTTACTCCAGGGATAGCCTAAGTCTGGCTGGGGGCTGAAATTGTAATACCACAACTGTTCTAAGCGGGTGGTCCAGCATCACTAACTGATTCCTTCTCATCCTCCTTTCACCTTGAGGTTAATTAAACTCTCTTTGACTAACCTCTTCTACATGGGCTTGTTTTCTCCCTTCCTGCTATTGCACCATAATCTGCTGATGGGTACCTGGTGCTTAGCTTTCTGTGCCACTTGGCAAACAACCGTAAAAAGCTTTATGTTAGTCTGTTTCAATCTCATCTGATGGCTAAATTGTGCAACTGGGGTATGGGGCAAAGTATTCAAATACATTACTTTAAGGAATAAAGGTACCTCTGGAAGAGAGAAATCCCTGCTGTCTGTTAGCTACAGTATTTTTCATGGATGATGTGAAAACTCTTGCTACTGTTGTGCTGTCCATTAATCAGTTCTCTTAGCTTTGTTTTGTGGTTTAAGGGAGAAATCTGTTATCAATACATTGTCAAAACCTGTTGTTCTCTTTCTTTCTTGTGGATTGGAAGCCCTGTGAAAACTTTATCTTTGCATTCCTTCCCTTCTTCTCTGATGCTACGTTGAGAATATAATTTATCAATAGCCTGTGTTCATCTGTTCCTTTTGTGGACTGCATTGTCTTGACCTGTATGCTGGCTGATAGACATTAGTTAGCTTATTGTGAACAGAGCTTATTGTGAACAGATCTGTGCCAGATCTTGAGTTGCAGGTATTTTTCTGACAAAGATTCAGATGATCATGTGCAACTTAAGGCTATGAACACTCATTTTTTGTGCTGCTTCATCACCCTAGTTGAGTATATGAGCTTGTTATCACTCGTGCCCCATGGTGATTAAACAACTACTCAGGAAAAGACATCTCTTTGTTTGCAAAAGTATTGCAGTGTTTAGTATACATGTTAGAAAAGTGAGGGTGGCATGTCTAGTTTAGGCTAGAAGTTTTAACCCTCTGGTTAGTTCAAATCAAGCTAGACTAATAGTGACCAAAACTCATCTGGAAGGTGGTCTTGGAGGCAATCTTCATACTTAGCAGGGGTCCAGATCTTGCTTGGTAGCAGTCCGGGGTAAAAAAAAGGCCAAGGACTCGAATTGGGCTGGAAGTATCCCTTTTGCTGCTCCAAGCTTCCTGTTGGAACAGGCCATTAAAGAGGAAGTTTGCATGAGCTGTCTGTTTTATAGATAAAGAGTGTTTCTTCCCTACCACAATCATTGCAACAATAAATTAACAATATAAAGAAATGACCTGAGGAAAGGCTGGCTGGTCCCTCTGCCACAACTGCTCTAACTTTGGTGCCCTTTTGTGCTATAGGAAGGACTGTCAGGGGATTTCTGCTCTTAATCCCTCTCCAATCAGCAGCCGCATCTCCTCTGAATCACTCTGCCTCCTGTCTCTCTTACTCACTGATGTGCAGTATGGTTATGCCTAGAACACTTCCTATTTCCCATCTGCCACCTCCCTCCATGGAAAAACAGATGGTCCTAAACGCCAAAAGGTTCCAGTCTTAAGTAACAGAAAAGCAATGAAACGCAGGAAGAGCCCCAGAAACTTGCAGAGCTGCCAGGCAAGTACTGTTCAACAAATGTGGTCAAGCTGTTTGCATTGTTGTGGGAATGGGCCAGATAAGCAGCATATAGAGTAGACTCTGGCTTGGAGCACAGTTTTTTTTTTTTTTCATGGTTTCATTTCTTTTGTAGGGCCTTGTCCAGTTGGGCCTTCCAATAATGGGAAGGGGAGACTGTTTACAAGCAGAAGTTTACCACAAAATGAAAGGAAGTTTTTCTTCCCCAGCCTATTTAGCCCTTCTATCACTGTTGACCGCTCTAATCACCACCCCAGGGACCACCCCAGGGATCCGTAGAAGGTCAAGAAAGGATAATTAGCACTAAAATATAATGCCGTCTCTGTTCTGCATTTAGAGAGGACCTAACACAAGGGGTTCCTGGGCTGTGGTGGCCTTCCACACTGGTAGAGCATGTTATGTTGTACGCTCTTTCTAAACTTGAGGGAAATGCCTGTACCACACGCTGACATTTCTGTGTGTTCTCTTTACTTGTACAGGTTTCCCTCGATTTGTGCTGTACATGTGTTCCCGGAGAACGGCACATAAACCAAATTTGCATAAAGCAAACCCACTTTACAATGTAACAAATAGGGGTAGGTTCCCATGGAAGTGGGGGGAGGGAGTGAGGCTGGGACTAGGGAAGGGGTAGGGGGAGGGGTACCACTCTCGGGGCTGCACAAGGCAGCAAAGGAGAGGGAACAGAGTAGCACTCACTCCAGCCCTGGCTGCAGCAGCCTAGGGAGCAGCCAGCCCCAGCTGCCTGCAGCCGCTGGGCTGCACCATGCCCCAAGGCGCCTGGGGCTCTACCTGTCCCCACTCACCCCAGCTCCTGCTGCAGCCGCCCCGGGAGCAGCCAATGCCAGCTGCCCGGAGCCACAGCTAATGCCAGCTCCCTGTAGCCGCTGGGCTGCACCATGCCTTGGTGCATTTAGCTGGTGTTGGCTACTCCCAGGGCCACTCCAACACAGGCTGGGGTGAACGCAGACAAGCGGAGCCCCAGGTGGCGTGTGGCACGGCACTCACCCCAGCCCATGCTGGAGCAGCCTCAGAAGCAGCTGACACCAGCTGCCTGCACCAGGGCACAGCGCAGCCGAGGAGCGGAGGTGAGTGCAGATAAGTGGAGCCCAGGTGCGGTGGGACGGGCGGAGCATAGTCCAACCCAGGACTGCTGCAGTCAGGACTGGTGTGTGTGTGGCCATGGCGCTTTCTCCTCCCCCCAGAGACTTACCTGCTTGGGGAGGGATGGGGGGGGTGTCTATATTGATCGCATAAGAGCGAATTCACATATAAATAACCTGCATAAATCGAGGGAAACCTGTATAGTGTTTCTGTATCATATGGCACTGAAAATAAGCAGATGGCTCCAAGTCCAGGGAAGTATTATGTTAGTCTTGCGGTGTATGGCCAATGGAAAGCCAGTTTCTTCTTTTTGCAGTTTGGGACAGCCTCTATTAGGAAACAGCCCCACATCTTTCAGTTACTCACACAATTTCACCCTGATTTGCCTGGGAGCCCTTGGGTATCACTCCTGTACAAATAAACCAAAAAATAACTGAGGTTCAGACACTTCTAGAATCAATGGCTATTGAGTAGCCATTTAATTCAGGTACAGCTTGGGGCTAGTAACACCAAGGTTGCAGGGTGGCTCCCTGGTTGGACTAGATAATCTCTTGAGGTCCCTGCTAGTCTCACGTCTCTGTGATCCATTTTAGAAAGGTGTCAGCTGTTTCACTTTTGCTCCCCCTGTCTGTAAAACAGACCCCCCCTCCT